CTTTGCATATTGGGCGACACGCCCCTAATGTAGCCAGTCCTCCAAGAGCTCACAGTAACCCCTGGATGAAGAGCTCTGTAAGCTCTTGGAGGATTGGCTACATTAGGGGCGTGTCGCCTAATAGGCAAAGGAGTTCTGGCTACCGAAAGAGCCCTGCGGGCTAGCTGCACTCCCCCTTCTCCTATGCAGAACTAAAACTCAAGATAGGGATAAAACTGCCCCACTTTCCATCCATTAGGTTCCCTCACTGGGGCAGAATTCAGGAATATCCTGCCCCTGAGCCCAGAGGTTTCATTCACAGGACCCCCAATGCACTACTTAATGAACGTTCACTAGACCTGAGGAGGGAGCTGTCCTTGCAGCCTATGAATTCAGCAATGGGTGTCGCCCCTCCTCTTCTCTGTCTGGGGACTACAGTGCGGAAGGAAGGTAAGAAAGGGGGGGACGGACCCCCAGTGTTTTATCAGCAGTGCTTCTAAGATCGTGTTGAATGGTTTGCCTTGGAATCGGACTCCACAAACGGCCTAGTATCCCGAGGGCTCGCCACGTCAGCGAGCACAACGGGACTGTGCTTACACAGCTTCCCTGGAGCTACCAATTTCAGGCCAGGATGAAAGAAACAGGAGCTGGATTCTACCTAAGGTTACCAAAAGGCCTGGAGGGAAATGTCCTGGTCCCTTGACTTGAGGTTTCATGCATGGAAATGGACAGGTGAAGAAGTCTTCATGGTATGGAAGTAAATAACCACACCATCCTATTAAGCCTGTATTAAAGGGACAGGGCATTTCCCATCAGGACCGACAACCAAAGGCCAATTTACTTGGGTGATTTTGCTCTTTAAAAAAAAAAAGCCCCGCCCCCTGCTTCCGGCCCTCATTCAGCCAGGAGGAGGCAGGAGAAGAGCGAGGGTAAGTTGCTTCCTCCCTGCCTCTCCCCACCCCTGCCTGCCTGGGGCCAGGGAGGGCCTTCGCGGGGCTTCCTTGCACTCCCGCTGGCCTTGCAGGTCCACCGCCGGGCCCCTCATGGGGCTCGGCAGTGGAGCTGCAAGGCCGGCGGTGGCGGCCGGGACCGTTGGGGGCGGGGTGTGTGTCCTTATGACACACTTCCGGTGATGTCAGGGGGTGTGGCCTTATGACACACTTCCGGTGATGTCAGGGGGTGTGGCATATGTTAATGAGTTATGCTAATGAATTCCCCTAGCTCTTTTTCTACGAAACGACCCCTGATTAAAGGGACAGGACATTTCCCCCCCAGGCAGTTGGCAGCCCTGATTCCATCAGGACCAACAACCAAAGGGCAATTTACTTGGGTGATTTTGCTCTCCATGGCAATCCAGTGCTCAGTCCAACAGCACTCTTTCACATCATTCCCCCCCTCCAAATGAAATAATTCAGGAACAAACCTAATAATTATTCTGCAGAGTGGATTTTGTTTGAAGTATACTATGCCTTGTTTCCCCCCTTTTGTAATAAACTTCTGCAATATTTAGAAAAATCTTGGAAAAAACCTTGAGCATATCGGCTAATCAGCAAAATGGAAACAAAACTGAAATGTGCACATGCCGATAGCTCATTGGTTTTATCACCATGGGGTTAGAGGGAGAAGGGAAATCTGATTTTTAAAAATGGTTTCAGTTATTTCTAAATGCAATGTAGCCATGTAGATATGCCAGCCTCCAGGTGGGGCCTGGGGATCTCCCGGAATTATAGTTCATCTGCCGACTACAGAGATTGATTCCTCTAAAGGAAATGGCTGCTTTGGGGGGTGAATCCCAGGGGTCATTTCCTGTAGGAGCGCACAGGAGCGGAGCTCCGGCAGTAAAGAGCCCAGGGGGCGGGCACATGCAACAAGCCCCACCCCCTGCTCCCAGCAGCCCTCAGTCAGAGCAAGAAGCAGCCAGGTAAGTTGCAGAGCCCCCCCCCCAGCCCCCCGGTCCAAAACAGTCCCGTCGCACCTTTAAGACCAAATTTTATTCAGGTACAAGCTCCCCCTCCTCTGCAAGGACAGATCTGCATGTCCCCCTCCGAATGGCCAAGCACCAAAATTAGCAGGTTTAAAACTCCCTGAACATTGCCTGCCTGAACCAAAAGGCTTTTGGAACCCTGAGAAATTTGCGGCAATCCATCTTCTTTAAATGCTAAAGTCCAGGCATCTGACCATTCTTGATGGGGCCCAGGTGTAGCAAGCAGTTGCATTGTTTTGTTCCCTCCATGCACTGTTTCTACATATAATATCTTACTTGGAGATTAAAGAAAATTTGAGCTTTAATGCTACAGTGCATGAAATAGATCGGGAATGTTCTCACAGAAAGGCGTTCCCTTATGACTTAAAATCGTTGCCAGATCTATTTCTGAACTTAAAACTGAGAACGTGCTCTTTATTGCTGAATTTTAAAACAATGTTCTCTCAGTAAGCCAACTGGCAAAACTAGGATTTGGAACACATTTAAATGCCAAAGGCTGTATTGTCGAAATAAATGAACAGACCTATACCAAAGGCATATTAGTAAATGGTCTTTATAACATGGAGAGAAGTGGAGACTTTTCATATCAACTCTCCTGATTTATACGATGAGGATTGAGAGAGTGACTTTCACAATGAATTGCTTGAACATGACAAAATGCCTGCAAATGAATGCAATGATCTTGAACATGAAAATATGCCTAAACTTGAATCTGATTATTATGGATCACAAACTGAACAAGAAGTAAATGTTGCTAAAGCATGCATACAACCACAATGCACGCATTCACCTGTGGCACTGGACAGCATGCCACAGAAACATTCAAACCATTAAGGACATGCAGAATAAGGGTTTGGTGAAAGGCATGAATTTTACTGAATGTGACTCTATCCCAATTCATGTTTACAAGGAAAAGGCACTAAACAGCCATTCCCTCAGAACAGCACAAGGAAGACCGCAGCTCCACTGCAGCTGATCCACACTGATCTGGATAGACATCTTCCTGCTACTCTTGGTGGGTACCGGTCCTACTTGAATCTGATAGATGTTTCTTTTCCAAATATTGTGTCTTATTTCTCATTGAAAATAAATCTGAAGTTTTTGATAAGATAAAGGAATACATAGCAATGGTTTCTAATGAGTTCCACAGGAAGCCAGAGGTTCTACGATCGGATAATGGAGGGAAATATTGCTCAAATAACATGGAGCAGGTCCTGAAAGAGCAAGGCATACAGCACCAGATGACTGTACCCCGTAATTTTCAGCAGAACTGTGTAGCAGAACACAAACACTGCATACTTCTGGATGCAGAACGCACCGTTCTTAAAGATAGTTGCCTGCCACTAAAATTTTGGGGGTAAAGCAACTGTCACTGCTAATTGCACACAGAATAGACTGGCCATGAAAGCAATAGAAGTAACTCCTTA